TGAGACAGTGAGAGAGTGAGACAGTGAGAGAGTGAGGCAGTGAGAGAGTGAGGCAGTGAGAGAGTGAGGCAGTGAGTGAGGCAGTGAGAGAGTCAGAGTGAGACAGTGAGAGAGTGAGGCAGTGAGAGAGTGAGAATGAGACAGTGAGAGAGTGAGGCAGTGAGAGAGTGAGGCAGTCTGGTGTGTTTTATCGATGAGCGATTACTTCTTGATAGAAAGTCCTTTCTTATACGCAGATGGGTGTCACTGGATTTGTTTCTCTAGTGACCCCAGCCTAACACAGCCATCTAGATACCAAATCCTAAACCAAACTCACCGTCATCGAGTCAATGCCGACTCTCAGTGACCCTATAGGACACGGTAGAACTGCCCTGTGGGTTTTTGAGACTGTGCTCTGTAAGGAAACAGAGAGCCTCCTCTTTCTCCTGAGGAGCAGCTGGTGGTTTTGAACTGCTGACCTTGCAGTTAGCAACCCAACGCCTAAGCACGATGTCACCAGGGCTCCTCGGTCTATGTACACCCTCCCTCTTTTCCTTCTAAAAATCAGGAGCCCTGGTGAGTTTAGCACTATTAAAAAGGTACAATTTCTGTTCAACAGAGGATGCTGTAGATACAATTAAAAGGCGGGTGATATAGTGGAAGAAAATGCCTTATCTAAGACTGACCACCACTGGTCAGTGTGTCACTTTGTGGTGGCTTTGATGTTGCTGTGATGCTGGAAGCAAGGTCACCGGTATGTCAGTCATGATGGGACACGATTCAAAGGGAGAAGAAACAGCTTCAGACACCAGGTCATCACTGGAACCTGGAATGGACACATTTCACTCCATTGCCAGAAAGGGCGTTTCAAGGTGCATCTGGAAGTACAGTGGTGCAGTGGCTGCAGCCTTGGGCTCAGGGCAGAGGAACAATCGTGCGGATTTTCAGAGTTTCACACTGTTGTGCATCAGGTGTCTGTGCGCCCAAACCGATTCGACGACACCTAACGGCAGTGACATCTACAACGGATGCGAAAGAGTGGAGAAGACACACGCATGTCAAGACCGGCAAGGGAAAAAGAAAGCCAAACATCTGATAGGAAAACAAGACTGATACGCGTGAGGTGCCCGCTGGAAAGGAGTCAAAGCTCCCAAGTTTTAGCTGCTGCTCATCAGGTGTCCGGTGGACAATTCCTCAGGAGGGGACAGCTTCTGGTCCACTTTGTGGTCAGTTCCTCATCCAGAAGCTCAGCTGAAATCGGTTCGCCTTGGGTCACCACGGTGGTCTTTGAAATACCAGCGGCATCGCTTCCAGCATGACATCACACGAGCCGCTGCTGGAGGAGACACTGACAGTCCATGTGCCTGGAAGCCGCAGTCCAGAGATGAAAAAGGCACTTCCCTGGGTAGATCGGCTGCGCCCGGCCTCTTTAGAGGGCTAAAGAGCAGACATGCCCTTGGAGGAATAAAGTGCGCCTCACCCAAGCCATGGTCTGCATTCTCAGCTGGCTCGTAGGCATGTGCAAGTTGGATGTTGACTGAGGAAGGCCAGAGAAGAGTCGATGCCTTTGAATGATGGCGCTGGCGAAGACTATTGGAAGTCCCATGGCCTGCCAGAGGAACCACCCAATCTGCCTTGGAAGAAGCACAGCCAGAATGCGCCTTAGAGCCAAGGAGGGCGAGACACTCCTACTCTGAGCGTGGGATCAGGAGAGACCAGTCCCTGGAGGAGGACACTGTGCTTGGTAAAGGAGAGGAGGCGAGGAAAAGAGGAAGGCCCTGGACGCGCTGGACGGACACAGCGACAGCAGCCGTGGGCTCAGGCAGAGGGACACTTGTGAAGAAGACGCAAGACTGGCAGTTTCTGGGTTTTTTCCTGCATCCGGAGGCTATGGGTTGGAACCGACTCAATGGCACCCTCGATGGAGGGAAAAAAGTATGGGTAGCCAGGTGAACAGGGCACTAATCTACACGGGGGGAGGGTGTCTATTTCCCTGTCTCCACAGGGAAAGAGGGACCAGACTTCAACCCGGAGCTCCAAGACAGGAACACAACATGCTGACAGGAAGTAGGGACAGATGGAGAGGCCTGAGGGGCCAGCCCCATTACCAACTGGGTGCAGGGCACCACCCTCCCCCAGGGGGAATTCACTTCAGAGGACAGCACTGAAGCTGCAGCTCGGGAAGAGGGGAAGGGGGACTGGTCTGGTCGGAGCGCATGTGAGC